GGTGCAGTGTATTCAGACCAGTCTGCCTTGCATACCACCATGGTGCAGTGTATTCACACCAGTCTGCATCGATCATCACAATGGTTTAAAAATCTGTGTGTCATCAAGTGAGAAACCTAGCTATATAACCAGTATGTCATCTTCACACTCAAGATACATACCTTGCGCTGATTACTCCATTATTCTCAAGTGTATCAGAAATAATATGAAGGACACCTCCACCAGCCGGTGCTCCACCTAAATCACAATGTAAGCTACCACATCCTCCAGCTTTGCCCGGCTCAACAGGGTGAACAATAGAGTCATATGAAATACTGTGACGATGTATATGTTCACCTATTCCACCATCACCACCATGTGACCCTCCAGCACCACCAAAGATTGTATCTGTAAAGTAACAAAAATTTCCATGATAAAATCCAGCAAATATACCTTTTTTCCTATACATTCAACTTGTCAAAAATCAGTGAAAATAAATTCCATACAAAACACCCAAAAATCTGTCAGCAGGGGCAACGTTTATTTTTTAGGAATTATATTTTAAACCATATCATTGTTTCACTCTCTAGCAAAGCTCCCCCCCCCCCTGTTTTGATAGGTTCACCCAGCAAAAACTATGATATAACTCTCTAAGAAGAAGATATTATTTACTCACATTCTCCATCATATACACTATCGCCTGTGAAATCCGCATTAATATGACCACTTGGTGCAACAGACAACAAATCAGCTTCAAGCAGCAGAACCTTGGCTTTGAGCACTGCTCTTGGCTGTATAGTGAGCTGATCCACCCTTACAGTGTACTCTTCATAAGATTCAGTCACATCCATTACACCGTTGTCAAGCAGAGAAAGTTGACGAAAATTGATTCTACGTTTATATATCTCTGACGATGAGTGTGCATTTCCTCCGAACTCTACTGTCGCATTTGTAATAGACAGTTCATGTGGAGCACCAAACCCACCATCAATATACAAATGATTGTTTTCAAATTTGATTTTAGTTGGTAAGTGTACATCGCCCTTGTTATACACTCGTACATTGCATGGTAGATAGTATTCTGTCTTCTGAATGCGAACCGTCTGTTTGGGACCCACATGTATTGTGCCAAATCTCTGATAGTCATCAAGGTGCTCACCAATGAAGGCCTCCATGGTGAGTTCTTTGGATTGGTGATTTTTATACTCAATTGCAAGGTGTGACATTCCCAACAACTTCAGTTCTGTAAGTGAGAACTGCATAGTTGGCAAAGTCAGCCAAGTGGTACCACTGCTCTCAAAAAAGCTCTCATAGCTCTGAATGTGATCCTAAAAAAGAAATTAACACTATTTAATTTGCAGGGCAAAAATGAAACAAACGTACATATCTTTCCTGTGAATAAACACCCATAGAACTCACACCTGTGAATGAACACCTGTAGAACTCACACCTGTGAATGAACACCTGTAGGACTCACACCTGTAAATGAAAACCTGTAGGACTCATATCCATGAATGAACACCCGTAGGAGTCACACCCGTAAATGAACACAATTAGGACTCACACCCGTAAATGAACACAATTAGGACTCACACCCGTAAATGAACCCAGTAGGACTCACACCCGTAAATGAACACCTGTAGGACTCACACCTGTAAATGAACACCTGTAGGACTAACACCCGTAAATGAACACCTGTAGGACTCACACCTGTAAATGAACACCTGTAGGACTCAATCACACCTGTAGGACTCACACCCGTAAATGAACACCTGTAGGACTCACACCTGTAGGACTCATACCAATAAATGAACACCTGTAGGACTTACACCCGTAGGACTCATGCCCTTAAATGAACATCTGTAGGACTCACACCCATAAATCAACACCCATAGGAATCACACCTGTAGGACTCACACCCATAAATGAACACTCATAGGAATCACACCCGTAGTTGCTATGCAAATATTTTTGTTGAGAGCCACTTGCCACATGCAAATGTTCAGTCATAATGACAGTGTCACTACAGTATTTTTACCGTCAGATATCAGGGCTTTCTAGATAATGTACTAAGTATGAACCATGCAAACGATTTTTTTTAATCGCACATGGAAGATCCACAATGCATCACAAGATAAACATCTATTACTCACCACACCGGTGTCTTGTCCATTATTATCAATCACTAACTGATTATATCGAACACCAGGATCTGTTGATTCATAATATACTGTACCAGCAGCACCTGGTTGCCATGACGATATCCCACCATATGCAGTCATTATACCATGGTAGTTACTTTGGTGATAGAATGCAGCAATACGACCTCCTCCACCACCACCACTTGAACATTCACCATTCTCATCTACAAAAGCTGATAAAAAACAATTTACTTAGACAAGAGAGTTTCAATTGACTCAAAATCAGTCATTCTGCACTACACAAACAATTTTTAAAATATTTATAACTGGTATTAAGATTTAAGAAAAGGTGGCATTACATCTCAGTGTGATGCATTGTGGGCCATATCCACCTCATGCTAATTTAAGGGTCATTTGTCTATTACTGGAGGACACTTTTATTTCCAAGCAACATATTTTGTGATCCAGCAGAAATCATGTAATTTTGTAGCTGTGAACATTTTCCTGACTTCCTTGAGTCATTGACGTTCATGACATTGTGAGGAGCCGTCAAGCTTTAAATCTATTTATTTGGAGGCAGAAGAAGTACAAGTTAATTTTTTATTACAAGCATTGAAATCACAATAAGGAACTACGCAAAACACAGGCTATAGATACAGGCATGAGTGAATGTCAAACATTGTACATGTGATACTGACAAAATAAAGTGATGCAGTGTCTGATGCAGTGATAAATAATACATGCTTGCAATTGTGTAATTAATTAGAGCATTGACTGGGAGCCAATGTAATGGTTTCTATAGTGGTATGATGTGGGTTAAAGGTATGTAAACATGTGAACTAAATAAGATATGGGTTAATTTTGTATTTTCAAAATTTTGTATTCATTATTCAGGTTCAGCACCCATTACGAATAGCGTACGTTTCTCATGCATCAGTCATAATGAATGACAGCCACTAAGTCATGCAAACACCATTGAATGATTAAATTATAAACACTTATATCTGTGAACGTTTGTATATTTATATTCACTGTGTGTTTTGTACTAACCTGCTCCACCATTGGCCTCTACTCTCCCAACACCACTCAAGATATTGGTTACAAGTAAAACACTACCGCCACTAGCACCACCACCTTCTCCTCCATTGGTTATCTTTCCTGATTCACCATCACACCGTATTATTCCTGCAATAATTACACATATAATGTAGGTCACCATGAAATTTCACTTTTAAAATTGGTCATGATGAGAAAGAAGCAACACGTATACTTTTAAAATTACATCACAACTCAAAAAGATGAATTAAAGTGGCACTGTCGCCAGAAATTTGAATACAAAATTCTATTATAATTTGTTTTGCTTAATTTACTACAACGCATGCACTATTACACTATAGTAGACTCTAAACATGATCATCACTCACAGTCATAACAGTACTTTATCATCACAAAAAACATTAA